CCCCCCCCCCAGCCCAAGCGGCTCAGGGTAGTGAAGTAGATTAGCAGAATTAAAAAGTTAAATTACAACACACAAAAAACTCAACTATTTAGTGACTAAAAATGCATTATTTGTTTAACTATATACAACCTGGTCGAGGGATACTTTTTTGTTACTAGCATCTCTTCTGTTGCCCTTTAAGTGTAGGGGGATACAACACTAATCAAATATGCGCCACAATGTAACCCTGCATTGTGAATGAACAAGAAAGATCTGTAGAGGGTTCTCTAGATCAAACCCTCGCTTTTGTATGGGAGCCATTGATTTCTGCTTTCCTCACCACACCCCCCCCCTTTTCCACGCCATTAATGTGATCAGTGATAGTGCATGGGCGCAACTAAACTAGGGCCAAAAGATTCCCCTGGGGCACACCACTATGCCAGTGCTGATAATTCAACTACCCAGCTGGGGGTTAGTGCCATCCAACGTCTACTATAAAAAACTCTGTATTTGGCTGAAAACGCTGCCCCTCGATACAAAGAAAAAAGTGTGTGTGTGTGTGTGGGGGGGGGGGGGGGAATCCAACCCCCCGCCCCCCCCTTCCAAACCCCCGGCCAATATTCCCCCCCCCCCCCCCCCCCCCCACACACACTGAAGGGAAAACCTGCCAAGAATTAGTATAGCCTAGGTCCTCTCCTACATAGGTCACATTTGACCTCCTGTGTCCTACTCCCTGGGGTGGCTTTTCTCAACAATGACAACTAAAAAGTTCCTAACAATGAATCTAAAAATTAAAGAGACTCTAAAATAGCAGCAGCCTGTATAAGACTATATCAAAGGCACATACTTTTTGAAATAGTCACAACAAAATCATAAAGTTCATATTCTTTATTAAAATCATTAAATTGTAAAACAGTCTCTTGCTAATGATAAAGGCACAATCATGGTACAAGATAGATAGACATAGCAAATAAACACCAAAAATCAAATAATTGGAATGAAAGCATTTCGGCAGTCAATTCACCTGTACACCTGACACCGCTGCATCCACAAGAAACCCTATCTTGTGAAAGCAAGAGCTAATATTAACTACATTCCATGATACAATTTTTTTTTTTTTAAAGCAATTTTAGATAAACTTAAGATATTCTATAACTGCTCATGAAGAATGAAGAAAGGAACAAAAAATTTACCAGAAGTCGGTACTAGTCATTCTAATCACAAGAACCATGTCTATCATAACATGGCATGGGAAAACAATAATTATAATTATAACAGACTTGTTTGGCTTACGTTTTTGAAAAATTTGTTTTTGAAAGGCGGCCATAATAAAAGATTGGGTGAAACTAAGCTAGGGCCAAAAGGATCGCCCTGGAGGGCATCTTACTGTCGCAGTGCTGATAGGTGATGTACCCATTGGCCGGCGTAGCCAGGGTTAGTGCCACCCGACTTCTACTGTCAAAAAAACTCTGCAGTTGGCCTAAAATCCTGCCCCTCCAAACAAAGAGAGAAAAAAAAAAAGGGGGGAGGGGGTCACTTTTGATAAAAAATCCGAGGTATGCCAAGAAACATTACATGAAACAGATAGGCTTCTTAAAAATTATCATGATAACAATTATTTGCCACATACTTGATAATCATAGATTATAATGTATACCACCAAAAATATTTAAAAAATGCATTTAATTAAGGCATGAAAGACTTTTTCAAATATGCCATGAGTTTTATCAATAATAAATCCACAGTGACATATTGTAACTAGAATATCATTTGGAAAGGAAACTACCCCACCTCTTGGGGCTCATTAGTATACTTGATTCAGGAAACTAACCCTCTCTGGGGCTCATTAAGTCTTACGTAATTCACCATAAACTTAAAATAATATTTTATGCAGTGGCATGTTAAACTGAATATTTTTATTTTTCAATAGTATGTTCAATCTTGTTACAACCCACTCCTTCATAGCTCATTAATTCAAATGCCGCCACCAATAAGAAAGACTGATATGAATTATTTTAAGAGCTATATAAAAAGAAGGGCAATCCCACCCTGGTTTGAAGTATGAGAAACTAGCAGAAATTAAATACACCCAATGGCCAGTGGAATAAAAAAAATGGAGATCAAAAATTCTGCTATGAAATTTCTATAAACTGCACTATATTACATGAATTATAATATTTGACCCTTAACTTTCCTGTTGGAGTAGCCCAGTAGGAAACTAGCAAAAAGATTAGAGAGAAAAAATAAAATTTTAAATTGATTGAACATGGCACAAAAAAAAATTGCAGATTATTTATTACACAACTTTGTCAAACTTGATTTATTTAGTTAATACCTCCAGGCTAAATGTGAATTCATTACGGGTAAAAACATTTGTAAAAAAAAAATTTTCCTAGACTAAGGAATGCTGACGAGGTAACAGGGGTTGTTCCCGTGAGGAGGTAACAGCGTTTGTTCCTGTGAGGAGGTAACAGCGCTTGTTCCTGTGAGGAGGTAACAGTGCTTGTTCCTGTGAGGAGATAACAGTGCTTGTTCCTGTGAGGTGGAATTTGTAAAACTTTTCTTTGGTTCTGAAATGGTTCTGAGCCATCACATCACAAACAGAGTTCATCTCATCTTCAAAGATAAGCTAAAAGCACTAATTTTAGACAGCTAACATTAGTATTTCATATTAATATTTAACAGAATTTCAATTACATACGAACAGCAATTTCATTTGTAAAATTATATACAATATAACAATTGTTTTAAACAAATATTATAAAATGAGAGATTCCAAATTTGGTAATAAATGGCCAAGTTTTTCAGCAAAACCTGGAACCTGTTTGGTCATTTTGCATTTATTTGTTTTGTCAAAGTTAATATATTAACGAGACAAATAAGAAATTAGATGATATCACTTGACGAGATTTAAAAGTTCTCAAAATGGTGTTCAAACATGGCCTTGGTGACCTTGCTGGTGTCCACGCAGGCTCGCTCCACACCCTTGGTGACCCCCGGGGGCCCACAGCTAAAGACGCCAACCTTCCTCACCTGATCACAAATGATATTAAAAATTTTACATGTCAAATATTTTAAAATTATTTATAATTTAAACTTTGAAATACTAGAGAAATATTTTAATGTATCAATAATATCCTGTAAGGATTTATTACTGGCACTGCTATCAGGTCAAGAAAGTATAAAGTTGATCAAAGAATAAATGTCACCAGCTAAAAACCATTTTCTTATTGCCATCTGCTGACATCCTAAGTATGGTATCATTTATTTTTTTGGTGTAACTTTGAGATGGAATGGCTGCAAACAGCAACACACGAGTTTAAACTCAGTGTCCAGTAAACTCACAAACTCAGTGTCCAGTAAACTCACAAACTCAGTGTCCAGTAAACTCACAAACTCAGTGTCCAGTAAACTCACAAACTCAGTGTCCAGTAAACTCACAAACTCAGTGTCCAGTAAGCTCACAAACTCAGTGTCCAGTAAACTCACAAACTCAGTTTCCAGTAAACTCACAAACTCAGTTTCCAGTAAACTCACAAACTCAGTGTCCAGTAAACTCACAAACTCAGTGTCCAGTAAACTCACAAACTCAGTTTCCAGTAAACTCACAAACTCAGTGTCCAGTAAACTCACAAACTCAATGTCCAGTAAACTCAGTGTCCAGTAAACTCACAAACTCAGTGTCCAGTAAACTCACAAACTCAGTGTCCAGTAAACTCACAAACTCAGTGTCAAGTAAACTCACAAACTCAGTGTCCATTAAACTCACAAACTCAGTGTCCAGTAAACTCACAAACTCAGTGTCCAGTAAACTCACACACTCACAGTGTCCAGTAAACTCACAAACTCAGTGTCCAGTAAACTCACAAACTCAGTGTCCAGTAAATTCACAAACTCAGTGTCCAGTAAACTCAGTGTCCAGTAAACTCACAAACTCAGTGTCAAGTAAACTAACAAACTCAGTGTCAAGTAAACTCACAAACTCAGTGTCCAGTAAACTCACAAACTCAGTGTCAAGTAAACTAACAAACTCAGTGTCCAGTAAACTCACAAACTCAGTGTCCAGTAAACTCAGTGTAAAGTAAACTCACAAACTCAGTGTCAAGTAAACTAACAAACTCAGTGTCAATTAAACTCACATACTCAGTGTCAAGTAAACTCACAAACTCAGTGTCAAGTAAACTCACAAACTCAGTGTCCAGTAAACTCACAAACTCAGTGTCCTGTAAACTCACAAACTCAGTTTCCAGTAAACTCACAAACTCAGTGTCCAGTAAACTCACAAACTCAGTGTCCAGTAAACTCACAAACTCAGTGTCCAGTAAACTCAGTGTCCAGTAAACTCAGTGTCCAGTAAACTCACAAACTCAGTGTCAAGTAAACTAACAAACTCAGTGTCAAGTAAACTCACAAACTCAGTTTCCAGTAAACTCACAAACTCAGTGTCCAGTAAACTCACAAATTCAGTGTCAAGTAAACTAACAAACTCAGTGTCCAGTAAACTCACAAACTCAGTGTCCAGTAAACTCAGAGTCAAGTAAACTCACAAACTCAGTGTCAAGTAAACTAACAAACTCAGTGTCAAGTAAACTCACAAACTCAGTGTCCAGTAAACTCACAAACTCAGTGTCAAGTAAACTCACAAACTCAGTTTCCAGTAAACTCAGTGTCCAGTAAACTCAGTGTCAAGTAAACTAACAAACTCAGTGTCCAGTAAACTCAGTGTCAAGTAAACTCACAAACTCAGTGTCAAGTAAACTAACAAACTCAGTGTCAAGTAAACTCACAAACTCAGTGTCCAGTAAACTCACAAACTCAGTGTCAAGTAAACTCACAAACTCAGTGTCCAGTAAACTCAGTGTCCAGTAAACTCAGTGTCCAGTAAACTCACAAACTCAGTGTCCAGTAAACTCAGTGTCCAGTAAACTCAGTGTCCAGTAAACTCAGTGTCCAGTAAACTCACAAACTCAGTGTCTAGTAAACTCACAAACTCAGTGTCCAGTAAACTCAGTGTCAAGTAAACTCACAAACTCAGTGTCCAGTAAACTCACAAACTCAGTGTCAAGTAAACTCACAAACTCAGTGTCCAGTAAACTCAGTGTCCAGTAAACTCAGTGTCCTGTAAACTCACAAACTCAGTGTTCAGTAAACTCAGTGTCCAGTAAACTCACAAACTCAGTGTCTAGTAAACTCACAAACTCAGTGTCCAGTAAACTCAGTGTCCAGTAAACTCACAAACTCAGTGTCAAGTAAACTCACAAACTCAGTGTCCAGTAATCTCACAAACTCAGTGTCCAGTAAACTCACAAACTCAGTGTCAAGTAAACTCACAAACTCAGTGTCCAGTAAACTCACAAACTCAGTGTCAAGTAAACTCACAAACTCAGTGTCAAGTAAACTCGCAAACTCAGTATCCAGTAAACTAACAAACTCAGTTTCCAGTAAACTCACAAAGTCAGTGTCCAGTAAACTCACACATTCAGTGTCCAGTAAACTCAGTGTCCAGATATCCTAAGCCTCAATCACACACAGTAGCACTGCCTTTTTAATTGAAAGGCAAAATACTGAGGCAGTAAACCCCAACAGAAACATTCTAGAGGTGTACTGGTATGAAGCGTAACCTAATTTCCAAACAAAAAATGCTGTCCCTTAAATATGTTATATATTAGTATACATTTGTTTTTAATACCAGTACCAGTATACATTTTGGTTTTAAAATCACTTAATTTCTAATGAAACAATGTTGTCCCTTAAAATTGTTATACATTCTGATTCTATTAACATTATACATTCTGGTTTTAATAACAGTATACATTCTGGTTTCAATACCAGAACACATTTTGTTTTAAAATCCCCAAAAACAAATTGAGAGTTGTTACGCACTGACTTGTATTGGGAGAAATTAATCTCCTATTTTAATTTTAATTTGGCTCGATGTAAACAGTGCCTAACAAAGGACGATACCATAGAATCAACAATTATTAAAGATACGACCCAAAACAGTTTCTAGTTACAATTAATTAAGATTTATTATGTCTAAAGATAATTACAAAATAAAATAAAATAAAATTACAATCTTCAACTTACAGTATGGCAGATGTCGTACCGGTACACACTTAATACAATTAGAAATAATGATGCCAATAAATAATGCGGAATAAACACATATAAGTAGGAGCACACAAATACACAAAGAATAAAACACGCCTCGTAATGTTAAGAAAATCTATGTGAAAAATCTCCGTCCCCTCGTGCCTGTCAATCTCTTATATATATGTAGAGTAAGATGCTTCGAGAAGGGCTTATGACGTGTTGTTTACATCTCTCGGGTTAAGGAGTATATTCCAGAAATTACCCGAAAACAATCTACCCAATGCGTAATTGGAAGCCGACTGTAAACAAGCCACTTCAAAGACCTAAGCCACACCCCTTTGTGAACACAGCGTCTCATGCGGGGTCAATCAGAGGGCACGCACGAGAAATACTAGCTCTCTATAACACCTCCCCTCTTAAAAGAAAAAAATTTCATTGTTCAAAAATGGAATTCTTTTTCCATTAAAATTGAAGAAAGTACATTTCTTACTCTCAAAATATTAGACAAAAACTTCCTAATAGCTTATGAACAATAACATAAGTGAAAATTAATTTCTGGACAAGGTATCTGCAATGACATTGTCTTTGCCTTTAATATGTTTGATGTCCAAATTATATTCTTGTAAAAATAGGCTCCATCTTAACAATCTTTGATTTTTGGAGACCATCTTATTCAAAAATGTTAAAGGATTGTGATCAGTAAAAACAAGTACTGAATGTAAAGAACAACTGACATAAAAATCAAATTGTTGGAGAGCAAGAATTAAACCTAAACATTCTTTTTCTACAGTGGAATAGTTTTTCTGATGTGAGTTGAATTTCTTTGAGAAATAAGAGACAGGATGATCTACATTGTGGTCATCTTCTTGAAAAAGAACTGCACCAATGCCAACATCACTGGCATCTACAGCTAATTTAAACTGTTTGTTAAAGTCTGGTGCAATGAGAACAGGAGCATTAGCAAGTATATTTTTAATGTTTTCGAATGCTTCCTGACAAGCATCTGACCAATGAAATTTTGCATTTTTCTTTAACATATTACTTAAAGGAGAAGCAATAACTGAGAAATTTTTGCAAAATTTTCTATAATAACCTGCCATTCCCAAAAATCTCATTAACTGTTTTCTAGTAGTGGGTGGTGGAAGTGATACAATAGCATTTATCTTAGCTTGAACAGGCTTTACATGACCTTGACCCACTATGTGACCTAAATATTCCACAGTTGCATGACAAAATTCACATTTATTTAAATTTACAGTTACATTTGCCTGCAAAAATTTTTTAAACAGAGATCTTAATTGGTTTACATGAGATGAAAAATCTTGACTGTAAATAATTACATCATCAATATAGGCGCTGCAATTTTCCTGGTCAGCAATAATGTTATTTACAAGACGTTGGAATGTAGCTGGGGCATTTTTCATTCCAAACGGCATTACTTTATATTGATATAAACCATCTGGAGTACAAAAAGCAGAGATTTCTTTTGCTCTGTCAGATAGAGGAACCTGCCAATAACCTGATAGTAAGTCTATCTTGGTTACATATTTGGCATCACCTATTCGATCTATAAGATCGTCTATCCTTGGAATCGGAAAGGAATCAGTCTTTGTGAATGCATTCACTTTCCTGAAGTCAGTACAAAACCTGTAACTTTTGTCAGGCTTTGGGACTAAAATACATGGTGAACTCCAGTTACTAGAGCTTGGTTCAATTATATCATTTTCAAGCATGTATTTTATTTCAGACCGGATTATTTCAAGTTTTTCCGGATTGACCCTATAGGGGTGTTGCTTGACCGGAACTGCATTGCCAATGTCAACATCATGTACAGCAATGTTGGTTTTATTAGGTACATCAGGGAAGAGTAAAACAAAATCTGCAATAACAGACTTAACAACATCCTTCTCTGACAATGACAAATGTCCTAGTTTCTTATCTAAGTTGGCCAATATTTCTGAATTTTTAAGTTTATAATTACCAACTTTTTCTGGGACACTATCAAAGGTTTCAGTAACATTTTCTTTAAGTACTGAAGTTACAGTTGAGATTGTGTTAACATTTGTTTCTGAGGATGGACAATGATCATCACATTTTCTATCAAAATATTCTTTTAACATGTTAATGTGACATAACTGTTTCTTTCTTCTACGATCTGGTGTTAACACAATGTAATTCAAATCATTGATTTTGGACTCAACAACATAAGGACCAAAATATCTAGCTTGTAGTGCTTGCCCTGGTATCGGCAAAAGCACAAGCACTTTGTCCCCTGAAGCAAACTGTCTGAATTTTGACTTTTTGTCATACCAAACTTTCATTTTAGATTGTGAATCTTTTAAATGTGTTTTAGCCAAATTAACGGCATTAAAAAGTTTAGTTTTAAATTTTTGGACATAGTCAAGAAGTCCTTCCGTGGATGCCGATGACATCCACGTGTCTTTTAAAAGTTTAAGGGGACCGCGAACCGTGTGGCCAAACACCAGTTCGAAGGGGCTGAATCCAAGTGATTCTTGAACTGCTTCTCTTGCGGCGAACAGTAGCATGTTGATGCCTTCATCCCAGTCTTTCTCTTGTTCTAGGCAGTAGGTTCTCATCATGTTCTTCAACGTCTGATGGAATCGCTCAAGTGCTCCCTGTGACTCAGGATGATATGCACTCGACAAGCAGTGTTCTATGCCCAACTGGTTCATCACTTGTTTGAATATTCCAGCCTTGAAGTTGGTTCCTTGGTCAGACTGTACAGACTTCGGAAGACCAAACAATGTAAAAAACTTCGTCAAGGCTTTGACGATGTTCGGAGTCTTGATATTGCGAAGAGGAATAGCTTCTGGGAACCTTGTTGACGCACACATGATTGTCAGCAAGTATTGGTGACCTGATTTTGTCTTTGGCAGAGGTCCAACGCAGTCTATAATAACGCGACTGAAAGGTTCTTCGAATGCTGGAATGGGTTGAAGAGGAGCTGCTGGTATCTTCTGATTTGGTTTCCCTACAACCTGACAAGTATGACATGATCTGCAGTATTCAACCACATCTTTCTTGATTTTGGGCCAAAAGAAGTGCGACGTGATTTTGTGATATGTCTTCTTTACTCCCAAATGACCTGAAAGTGGTGAGTCATGGGCTAAGTTCAGGACTTCGTTCCGGAATGGGGTAGGAACTACTATTTGATGAACTATCCTCCATTCTTCATCAGCATTTGCGTCTGGAGGTCGCCATTTTCTCAAAAGTATGTCATCTTGAAGGTAATAACATATAGGGAATTGTTCAGCTTCTTCTTGGGTCAAAGCGTTCTCTCGAAGTTTGACTATTTCTGGATCACTCTTCTGTTCTTCAATAAGTTGCATTCGAGTTGGAGTCTTGTAATTACTAGCCTCTTCATTAAGACTTGCAAAAAATGTTTTTCCCAGGTCAATTTCAGGAAGAATTTTATTGCTTTTTTGTGAAATCTCTTTTGTGGAGATCTTGGAACTCATGGCCCTTGTCACAGCACATGCTGGATACAATTCTTGATCTTCTTCCTGATTTTCATTTAAACAAGGTTCATGAGTAACGATGGGTTCGGCTATTACCTTCCCACCAGCTAAGTCATTGCCTAGCAGCAACGAGATGCCGTCCAATGGTAATGTTGGTCGGACACCCACAACCACAGGTCCGGAGACTAAGTCTGATTTTAGGTTGATGAGATGTAAAGGTACATCTATGCATCCCAGCTCTACACCTCGTAACAGGATGTTGCTCCCAGTAGCAGTAGATTCAGATAAGGGAAGTATACCCTCAAGTAGCAAGGACTGTGAAGCACCTGTATCTCGTAAGATTTTGATTGGTTGTAGACTGGAAAAATCACCTGGCAGTGATACGAATCCTTCCGATATGAAAGGCATGAAGTCTTGTATGACATCAGTAGTTTCTGATGTAGAATTTTGGACCTTGGTAGGTAAACTCTTGTTGGAGTCTTGAGAACATTCGGCTAGGGTAGAGGAAGTAAAACTCTGGGTAGAGTCGTCAAAACTTGCACACAAGTCCTCAGTAAAACGCCCTCTGGAGGTAGACCTCTTCTTGGAGCAAAAGGATCTTGGCGACAAGCTCATAAAACTCGCAGTCGAAGCAGGAACTTGGCTGGAGTCAGTAAAACTAGCCTTATTGTTCATAATGGAACTCTTTGATGAGTCGTGACAAACCTCTTTGAAGTTTGTATGGACATCTGGAGAGCAAAAACTCTTGAATTTTGAAAATGTGTTTCCAGATGTATGACGAGACGTACAAGCGGAGACTTTGTGTTGTGTACCAGGATGTGTGGTCTTCTCAGTTTTCTTCTTGAGTTTCCAGCAATCATCCCTCGTATGTCCTTCTTTTTTACAGTAGGCACATGTGTCTTTTGCACCAATTTCTTTCGTACCGGGCTTGAATGGTTTTTGTGGAGGTTTACTGTAAGTTGATACAGCTGTCTTATTGTGCCTGTCATTTTTGGTGTCAGATGGATTCTTGGAAAGTTGATGTGAGATGGTGAAGTCGTCGGCTAACACTGCTGCCGTATGTGCGTCACCTTCGCCACGGTCTGCAATATGTATTCGCACCTCAGTACGAACACAGTTCTTGAACTCCTCCATCAGAATGAGGTTCTTGAATTTCTTGAAGTCTGTCTCGGTGTTGGTTGCGTGCAGCCACTTGTCCAGGAGCCGTTCCTTTTCCCGGAGGAACTCAACATGAGTCTGGCCATCACGTTTCCACAGTTCCCTAAACTTTTTACGGTATGCTTCGGGGACACATTCATAAGCCTTAAGTATTAATGATTTTACTAGGTTATAGTCCCCGCGCTGTTCCGCATTCAGGGACACAAAGACTTCAGATGCCCTTCCGGTCAAGGCTGGTTGAAGTAAGGTGGACCACATAGTTTCAGGAATTTTAAAATTTTGGGCAGTTATCTCAAACTGCGCAAAATATTGGTCAACCTCTTTTTCTGTAAATTTAGGGATTACTTTTGCAAATTTAATTGCATCGCAACCCTGACCGGCTGGAGCCGTGAGTCTATTTTCCATTGCTCCTAAATTGGCCGTTATTTCCATTTGTTTTAACTTTATTGTTAGCTCTCTATCTTTTTCTTCTTTCTCTCTCTGAGCTTTTAGCTCCAGCTGTTTAAGCTCTCGTTCTTTTTCTTCTTTCTCTCTCTGAGCTTCAAGCTCCAGCTGTTTCAGCTCACGTTCTTTATTTAGCTCCAGCTGTTTAAGCTCACGTTCTTTTTCTCTCTGGGCATCTAGTTCCATTTGTTTGAGCTTTAGTTGGAGCTCCATACTTGGATCAGTCGGTTGTGTGACTGAGGCAAGTTCATCTTCAGATAACATGTCTTCATCCACAAAGTGAACGATGATCATGTCTCGTATGGTCTTTTTTACGGCCGAATGAGCTACATTTATTTCTAGAGCTTTAGCAATGGAAAATAGCTCCTTCCTAGAACATTTGTCTAATGCCTCTACTGATGGGTTTTCAATATCAAAATCCATTTTGACACAGGCAAAATATAACAATGATTTTTTTATAAAAATTTAAGCTTAGTGCACACACTAATGAAAAAATTGTAACCAGCTCTGTTGTTGGTGTCGTAAAATGGTATCGTGATCTCAAATTAGTTTGAGTGTATTAAGGTAAACAGTTTGTCAAAATCCACAGAAAAAACGCTCAATTTATTATTGGTGTATTAAAAACTATGGATTAAAATTATCCTCGGAAAATCCCACAATTTGTTAAAATTGGGGTCTAATGAGAATAAAATATGGATTCGGTTATCGCGGACGATGCCCCCAATTTGTTAGAATTGGGGTCTTGAGAAAAATAATAATATAGAGTCCGCTATATCCGGGACGAGCAACCCAATTTGTTACGCACTGACTTGTATTGGGAGAAATTAATCTCCTATTTTAATTTTAATTGGCTCGTTGTAAACAGTGCCTAACAAAGGACGATACCATATAATCAACAATATTAAAGATACGACCCAAAACAGTTTCTAGTTACAATTAATTAAGATTTATTATGTCTTAAGATAATTACAAAATAAAATAAAATAAAATTACAATCTTCAACTTACAGTATGGCAGATGTCGTACCGGTACACACTTAATACAATTAGAAATAATGATGCCAATAAATAATGCGGAATAAACACATATAAGTAGGAGCACACAAATACACAAAGAATAAAACACGCCTCGTAATGTTAAGAAAATCTATGTGAAAAATCTCCGTCTGTCTCTCCTCGTCCGTGCCTGTCAATCCCTTATATAGGTGGGTCTACCGACGCCTAAGCCCTGCCTTCGATAAGCTTCTAGAAAATCTAAATCATTCTACAAAATACTATTTGGAACAGATTAATTATTTTTAATTCGTTGGCGGCGTAAACAAGTTACTTCAAAAGGCCTAAGCCACACCCCTTTGTGAACACAGCGTCTCATGCGGGGTCAATCAGAGGGCACGCACGAGAAAATATGATGTAAACAAGTTCTCTGTAACAAGAGTAGACCCAAGATCCCCCCAGGTTGTGATTCTTATCATCAGGTTATCGGCTACTCATTTTGGAAATAATCAAAATTTAACATTATTCAAATCCAGGAACGTCCCCCATTCTCTAATGCCTAGGAGCAGAGCACCAACTTACTTTCATTAGTTTCAACATGGCGCCTGATGGCAAACATTATTTGTTTCCTTTAAAACTTTGAGATATAAATGATTGACTGACCTGCGGGTGAGCTCTGTGAACGGCTTCCATTATTTTGTTCATCTGCGGCCTCCCGAAGTGAGTTGTTGCCTTAAGTCCTGTGAAAACACTTTTACCACCGTTCATTTTCTGGAAGTGCTCTTCAAAAATATACTGGAAAATTCAAAGCAAAATCATATCAAGAATTATACTTTTGGCATTTAATTCTATAACTAAATTGTAAGCACCCGCCTATAAGGACAGTAGAACTCACCCATAGAGCAGTACAAATGGAAGTCTAATCGACTCCAAGAAATTTATGTCTTCTACAAAATAAACCGTTTCACTTGTTTAGATTAATGCTAACGGAGGTAATGAATGACACATAAGATATTATCAAAGGCCTTTCTCGATTGTTTGTGAAGCTAACACTGGGCAGTCATCTCTACAAACACAGAAACCAGAACGATCAATAAATTGATTGTGGGCCCTCAAAACAAAGAAGAAGAATCTCTCAAAATCCCCTTGCGTCTTGAGTTCATGTTTTAGTAATGTGTTATTTATAATACTAATGCTGTAAAAAAAAAAAAAACTAGATTGCAGGACCCATGCAGGGGTTGCAGGACCCATGCAGGGGTTGCAGGACCCATGTAGGGGTTGCAGGGCCCATGTATGGGTTGCAGGACCCATGTAGGGGTTGCAGGACCCATGTAGGGGTTGCAGGGCCCAGGTGTTGTTCTTCGCACGCGAAGATGACCAAGGCAATTTTCTAGTCGAGTATTAGCCTTGACTTGAGCTGGATATTGTTTAAAGTGAGGGACAGTTGCTCAATTTGTCAGCCTTTACTCTTTCGTCCCTGCCTATTTGTTCCAATGGCAAGACTTAAATCAAGAAGACTGGAAAGAGACCAGGATGCAGTAGATGACCGGCAGTGTGTAGGGCTCAGGTAGGGTAAGGATTGCAGGGCACAGGCGGTGGCTCTGAGATCCAAGTCCAAACCGTTCTCATGGTGTTGGTATAACAAATTAGAGCAATGATCATAAACCAGGTTGTCTTTTAAAAAAACAAAAAAAAATTAGCACTCCGTGTCAACGCAGTGTTAGAGGCAACAACTCACCAACAGTGATGTCCTAAGGTCGAAATTTTGAAAGAATTGTGTAATGAAGATGTCAATAGACACCATCCCTTGTGTGTCCACCTCCTCCACTTCCCGTATGATGTCCAGCAACCACTCAAAGTGTCTTTGACTTCCGGTGATCCAGATAAAATAGAGCTAAGATAAAAACATTTTCCATCAATAGAAATTTTCTTTTTTCCTTTTTAAATAATAAAGTTTCATCTAAATCTAAGTAAATATTCAAATGAATTTATAGTACTGCAGAAAAGTGAAGATTCTATGAAAATAAAAAATTTAAAAAAGTATAATGAGAAATACTTATTTAGACTGAGACAAATACCCTTAATAATAATTCAATGAATTAAAATAAAAAGCATGAAAGATTGTTGAATTTGTTTCTATTTGTTGCAGAAATGTTTAGTATGAGACTTGTAAATTTTAAGAACTTGCAACATTTGATCCAAAATATTACATTTCAATGAGGACTTTTGCTAAGACTGTACTGTAAAGTAAAAGGAGCAATATTTAAAAAATGTACAGTTTATTCTTTAGTGAATGTAACAACTTCCATTTTGTCAAATTAGGTTTTAAATGTATTCTTCTAGTAAAGCCTATTTTACCTTCTGACATTTGACCTTGTACCTCATGTTGATGGAAGCCATGTGAACAAAGTCCTTGAGAATGGATGCGTACGGCGTCACACCGATGCCAGCACCAACGAGGACACTGACATCGTACTGGTACCAGTCTTGTTGTCCAGCCCCATATGGTCCATCAAGATACAGCTGGACAGAGACAAAATTGACTTAAAGCAGGTTACCCCAGAAGACATCATAGTCATGAGATATTTTTTGTCCCCTGTGTAATTATGTATCTGGTACACATTATGTGTAGTACCAGGTAGTATGAGGCATTCTAGGACCTATCACTCCCAGAACATTCTCAATATCATAAAAGCTCAGTATATTGTACATACCTTGTAAGACAAATGATATTTAATTTAAAGGAGAACTTGAACCCAATTCAAAGTAATGAAATCATTAATATTTTTAGATATTTGCATTTAACAAATTATTTACTCAAGGCACCATACAGTGACATTTTCTATCTAACAATTAATATCTTGTGTGATTCTGCTGTACAAGTCTGACTGATATTTAAGAACTTGGTGGCTTACCTTAGGATAGCTCTTTGAACTTTTTAAGCTTTCGGTCTCAAAAATGTGTCGAAGGTTCCACGTCCACGGCCCCAGGGCTCGGATGTGCAGCTTCAGTGTGTCCTCGTGGGGAGCCGAGGTCAAGGTGAAAGGATGATACTCATCTTTACCCTGTGCCAAACAGGCAATGCGGACCCATTGGCCAGATTTATATTCAAAGCGTGGAGGTCTCTTGAACTCAATCATAGTTACATCTGAAAGTGTGAGAAAAATTGGGTTTAAAGCAAGGGCTCATCATTTGATTAATTATTAAACTTGAATAAAATTTTCAACCAGACACTTCCAAAAATGGTGAGGTAGTAAGACGTATCCTGGCATCATTATTATAATGTGTTATATATTGAGTACACCCAATGTGTTGTATTTTCCAAATTCATCAATGATGAGAAGGGAATTCTTAAAGTCGGTCCACAGTGATAGTGAGTAAGAAATAGTATTTTACTTTTTTTTCTAATCCCTGTCAATTTCAAAATCCTTAATTCTGCAACTAGAAAGGATCGTCATAAAAGGTCAAACTTGAGGTCCCAAATTCTCAGCCCTGGAAATAGCTCTGACTTAAATGCTGATAGTAAAAATATGTTTCTGATTATTGTTGTAAGGTGAAAAATTTATTATAAAAAAAGTAAAATGGGTTATTCACCAGAAGGCAAGTTCTTGGCATTGATGATGCAAAGTTCGGTCTTCTTGCGGCTAAGAGACACCAGTTTGTCAATCATAAACAAGATGGCCGGCCCAGAAAGGTAGGCGAAAAACATCGGCTTCTGCACAACAACACTGGCCCCGTGGATGATGGTGAGCACATACAAAATTATGAACAGCTTGTGTGTCAGCCAGAACAAACTGAAAATGTGTCGTCTGGCTGTTTGGGTGGCAAATACGTATAGAATGCACAACACCAGGACGAGCAGGACACCAGTGAAACCTGAAAGGAGATAATTGTGAAATAAGGGGAGGCTATCAGAAATGAATAACTATGGTTACCCTTCAATTTCTGTAAATAGACATAGTTTTCATAATTTTTATCAGATATCAGTAAAAGCAAAAGTTTAATTTAACACAGGTGTAAATTTCACTTATCACATATTGGCATCTTTACAGATTAATTATCAGTCATGAGTAAATGATTTAAATGATTGAAATGTCCTACCAGGCATTGTTCCAAAGACCCACTGTTGAAATGACAAGGGAAATTCAGGCCTGCAAATGTAGTAAGAAAAGAAAATATGATTTTTGTTTCAAAAAAACAATATAGTTTTAAACAGTTTTCAAAACCATTAAATTTAATAATCATACAACACACTTCTAGTTCTATATAACTCAGATTCTCTCAAGTTAAAATCTTTTCAATTATGACTCAAATAACTTTTAAAATTGTTGCACACACATTTTTTTCATAGAAATCAACAGTAATTTAATTTAGTTGGTGTTTAATGTTGATTTTTAAAGATGGCCCAATTGATACAGTTACAGCATTATTTTTCATTTGATAAAAATTTTAAAAAATCAACCACTAGGGGCCTAGATACCAATGAACATACCTGAAGACAAGACTCGTAAAAATGCACAGGAACCTGGTTGGTTGCGATACCAAATGATAAAAGTTGAAACTGTAGCCAATGATGTGTATTGCTGTAAGAAAATAAACAATTAAATTACATTAGGGTCGGACTGCAATAAAACTTAAGTCAAGTTAAGACACAAATTATTTGTGAAACAGTCACGTTAGCTTTAATTGAAAGAACAAAATCAAAACGATGGACTTCTATAGAAAATATTAACCTGTATCAGCTTGTTATGAATTCCAATACTCTTTCTAAAATGATGTATTTTTAACATGGTACGAACGTTGTTTAAAAATACTTTCAAAAGTCTCAAAATTGCTCACCGTCTGTGTTTTAAAAATATTTTTCATGTTGCTGAAAGGGCTTTTCTGTGGTGTTTTTTTTTCCAATTATTAAACAATCATGCCATGTAAATAGTAATTGGTATTCATAAAATGACAGTGAAGTGCCATGTATCCTCTACCAATCTGCTAATGTTGATCTACATTTGTATTAGCTTGACTGATGATATGAGTGGTTATTAATAATTAGTTATTTAATTACCTGAGAAGAAGAGAGCTGTCCAAGCCACTATCTTGTGGAAAGAAACATGCGAGTCGAAGGGAATAAACAGGTTCAATGGTGTGGACCTCAGGAATGTAATTGTGTTTCTGCACATGGTCAGCAGGAGAAAGCTGAAAGCACAGATGTCAAATTTCAAATGATGGTTATAAGCTGACTCAGTTTAATTTCATTATATAAACATACAGTTTTATACACTGAAAATTTTTTTTATGGCATCAAACTAGTTTAGACACAATAATAATACAAATTTAACACACAAAATATGTGAACTACTAATAAATATGAAATTCTTAATAATTTTATAGTCATTAAAAAAAACTAAAATCATCAGCTCTTGTGTTCCTGAACCATATGTGAAATTCAATAGTAACTGCACAAATCATATTAAGCAATTTATGCCCCAATGACTGTTACTCTCATTTATTGAGAACATGAACTGATAACTCACCTGAATGTAAATGACATGGATGCTGCTGCCCCTCTGGTAAAACTGATGCCATAACTCATCAGTTTCCTGAAGCCTTTGTGCTCTTGTTCAACTGTGTAATCTATAAAATGACACAGCATGTTTCCAGTAAGTAGTCAGAACATGAAGGTTTGATCTTAGATCAAATTTACTCATGTTAATCATATGTCCTGTACAAATAAATGATAAGATTTAACACTATGCAAAAAAAATGAATGATACATTCATGTTACACTACACAAAACTGTTTGAATAAATCAACTTACAGTAAAATCTCTCCGCAAACAGACCAGCGCAGATGCCGTAGAATAAGATCATGAAAAAGATGTGCTGACGATAGTTCTCAATAAAATGCTTGACTAGTTTGACCTTGGCCTTGAGCGGCGTATACTTTTCCCGCACAGCCTCAAAAGAAATAGCGAACCTTGAACCGCTGCCTCCGTTCTCTAAGGCTCCGAGTGATGCAACCGAGCCGCGCTTCTTTAGGTTGGGTTCACCACTACAGATGCAATATAAATTTTATTAAGTGAAATTTTTAAAGACATATTAGCTGTTTGTAAGATCTGACTTGAACATGGCTTCTGAAGGCAACTGAGCGCTAAAGATAACATCAGATGTCACATCCAGTAATGTTTGTAAAAAAATGTAACGACTTTCTCATGAAAAGTTTAAAGATGTGAGTTGAATATAATCTGACATATGGTTTGAGGGATATTTAGTTTATGGGGTTGTAGTAGAGAAGTCAATACGCAAACTTTTTTTCTTTTTAATTGTTTAATGTGGAGTGACATACAATGGCTCACAACTTCTTCACATCCCTGTATCAGAAATTTGAACAAACTAATTTTATTTTATTTTTTCTAGTTTAAAAAATTGACTCTAAAGAGGAACTTACTTGGCTGCCTTTTTGGGAGATTTCGTTTTAGGGGGCATCACATTAGATAATCCTGGGAGAGTGAAGGGAACATTGTTAAAATATTAAAATAAAATGAAAAATTATTCTAAGAAATATAATTCTCAGCTGTAATGCATCTGTTAGCAAAAAGCAACAGAAGAAGCCTACAAATTATTATTCAGTAGTAGGTTACATTTGAGCTGTGCTATTTAATAACTATTTTGTAATTTTTACTAGTTAGCTGAATATAACTGATTTGTTTAAAGGGTGATTACAAGATAATGAGACATATTATCTATGGAGAAAGTTCTTCAACGTTAACTTTAAAAAATGTTTAGAAATCTTACATTTTTATTTTATTATAATCAATAGATAAAAAAAGTGAAAGCATTTCGTGAATTATGAAATTGTCAACTGAAAATCTTTTCACAAAAATATATACATTTATTGAAAATCTGAGTTGGCCTTCATTTATTTAAAATTAAGCAAGAAAAGAAAATTGTTTGACCTTTCCAATCAAAAGAAGCATTCCATAGTTTGTCCATCTGGGGAGAGAGAAGCTGGCAGAAATCTTCAAATGAATATTGCTCTTTCTTTTCCATGCCAGACTGGCTGCTGAGAGACTCCAGGAGACAGTCGATGTCATCAGTGTCAAGGTTGCTCTGAGCCAGCTCGAGGAGAGACCTATGTATAATGGTTTTATTGAAGACAGATTCATTAGTCTAGAAGTTATCTGAATTTGTTTAGTTTCATTAAAAAAATAATGAAGCTTTCAATTGGGAAGATTTCATTAGTTGTAAAAGTTTTTAAAAAGTTATGAAACTAAAAAAGTGAACAAACATTACTGCTGTATGTAATGTCATAGCTCATTTGTTAAGAGTGACATGTCATCATGACCCACCTGAACATCTGACCTATTTGTTTGGTGCTCATGTATCCTGTACCGTCGATGTCATACATGTAGAACATTGTCTGAAGTTTCTCTTGGATGGAACCTGGAAGACATTTAAAATAATTAGCATAGCTCTTGAAAGGAAAAAATCAGAAACAACTGAAAAACCTTTAATTTTATTCATATCAAAAATGTAATAAATGTCAACTCTTTTTATGATAGTTATTAAGTAAAAAACTCTATTTTAGTTAGATTTAAAATAATAATAATATCATAAAGAAAGTTTATGCCACTAACATAATATCAGACAGATGATCAGACATGTTTTCCATGCTACCAAAAGAAACAATTTGAAAAGGAAATTAAACTCAAATGTATTCTTCACAATCTTTGCCCTATATCTAAAAATTATGTCATTTTTGTGATGTCTTGTTTTTTTAAAAAAAAATAATAAAACCTGCGACTAACCCTTAGAGAACAGAACAACTGCATTCAAGAACTCCCTGAAGGAAATATATCCATTTCTGTCGGAATCAATCAGACTGAAGAAGTGTTCCACAAAATCTGAGTTGGCCTTCACAGCCATGGCCTCGGCAAATTCCTCTTTGGAAAGCTCTACCTGTATAATACATGAGAGTTTTTATCAAAGCCAAATAAGGTTTAATCATCCGAGTTGGTGTGATGCTACAATCGTGAACACGGCTTCAAGTTGTGAGAAATTAAGAAATCAAAACTCCATCTATAAAATTACAATGCTGGTTAAACTTACAGAAATTCAATAAGACCAAAGAAAATAATAATGAATTTATTCCTTCAAACTGTCCATATGTTTCTAACAACTTTGCTTTTTTTGCCTGCTATTTTGTTACTCTAACTCAAGCTAACAATTATGTTGTTATATATCAACTTTAAAAGTAACTTCCTTTCATTCATCTATAAAATCAATACATTTGCAATCATTTTTTTGTTTTGTTTTTTAAACTATGATCAGTGGCAAAGTAGGCCAGCAAAATAAAGAACAAAAAAATTAGTTTCAATCCAATTAATTAAATATTTAATGTACTGACCTCAAGTATTTCCTGGCTGTGTTTCTTCATATCCAAAGAACCAGCATCAAGACTTGGGTCATAGTCCATCTGAAAGGCCTGAGGACATGAATAACAGTTTGATTATATCAGTTAATTTTTTGGAACCAGGTTTAAATGGTGTGAGTTAATCCATTCCCTAAAATGTAATCTTTGACAAGTAATCTTAGCTTTTAAAAGTATATCTACATGTACAAGCCCTCATTGTAATCAATTAGATTTTTTCCTCATCAAGTGGATCTATTCTACACTAATTCACATGTACACATTTTAATGAGCAGCAGGCTGCCAAAGATCCAGAATATGTAGCTGTACAATGTTCATCATGTCGAGTGACAGAGATAAAAGAAGATATATCAAACGAGATGCTTGTAGAATGTGATATTAAACAAACCATGGAACTTGGACCTCTGAGAAGACATACCTCTGAGAAGACATAAAGCTGAGAAGACATACCTCTGAAAAGACGGTCTTGAAGAATTTTTCCAACATTCTGTTTCGTTTCTCCTTGGTTGTGGCGGCGTTGTACAGATCCTGGAGTCTGAGCTCAATCACGGATAAGTCCACATTGTGCTCTTGGGAGAATGTACACAGCATTGTGCCAAACTCAATTCTCATTGGCTCTGAAGGGAACTCAACAATCTGGAGTAGAAGCAATTTTTTAAAGTTGATTTTGAATTATTATTTTTTTCTTTAGACCTTTATACAAGTTTTTTTTCCTCCATAAATTCTGTTTACAACATTTGTTTTTTTCCATAGGAACTGTATAACTTTTTTCCCAACAAAAACTAAACTGTAAACAACAGTTTTATAAAATAATAAATTGACTGATTAAAAAATAACTTCATTCAGGGGGAGAAGAACTCATAAGGAAGTGTTAAAAGGGCAGGGTGAAGGTTTAATTTCTTTTATAAATTTTTTTATATTGTCTCTTTTTGTTTTGTTTGTATTATTTTCCATTTAATTTCTCCGAACAGTCATTCTCCATGATTTTTTTTCACAGGCTGCAAAAATTAATCCCAGTAACAAAATGGAGGACAAATGTTTTGCTTAGTGAATAATTGGTTGTTTTTTTTTTCATGGCGAAAATAAAATTATAATGGGCCCTAACGAAAAACGTGTATAAAATCACACAAACAAATAGCACTATATTGCAAGAAAGGTCAAGGACATTGTTAAATAACTCAAGTAAGAAAACAATCCTCAATATTCTTCCCTTACCAGACCTGTGAGAAACACACATGTTCAGAAAGACTTCTTTGTTATAGGGGTTCTTTTAGATAAGATCAGATTCTATTTTTTTTTACCAAATAAATAAACCATATTTATTTTCAGTACATTGATAAATTAAATATTCTTTCTTAGACAAACAAATTTAAACTAGAACAATTTAACATGAAGAGAAATTAAGTATTTCTCAAGGGCAAAAAAATCAGCCATAAACTTCACTCAGTGGCAATATTGACTTTATGAGTGATTATAATTTAGATTTTGTAACTGCATGGAGAGGACAATGGTAAATTCTGATAGATTGGGGAACAAATGAAGCTTTATAAATGAAAATTATTATAAGATGTTAACAAGGCCAACTTACCAGATCATATTCTCTCAGCATTATTATAAGATGTTAACAGGGCCAACTTACCAGATCATATTCTCTGGGCATTATTATAAGATGTTAACGAGGCCAACTTACCAGATCATATTCTCTGGGCATTATTATACCTAAGACATTTCTCTTCTTGTTGGAGCTCATTTTGATGGCCAAAGTGGGCATTGTGCTAACTTTGATGGACCTAAAAAATTGCAAGCAGATGTTAATTATAAAAAGTCTTGTAAAAATATTTGGTGGGATACCGAGTCTTATGACCAGTCTGCCAGTTACAAGAAATAAATAAATATTTAAGTATAAAAAGTCCACGAAAAATTTGGACATAACATATTTAAACTAAATTAATGAGCCCATTTTGTGGGATGAAACAGCCCTGGATTGTAGAATGAACACAAATTATTAAGACAATGAACATTTTTTGCATACTGTATATCAAGAGTGAATACATAAATAATAAACTAAACCTTAATCAACTTTATAAGGAAAATACAAATCATACTCATTCTTTTTAAATTCATCAAACTATAATCTATTCTTTCACTTATTTTTGTAATTTCATCAACCAACCACCGACATGCCCAGATTTTAAAATGTTTTTTGGTGTTTTTTTTAACATCTTTTTTAGTCACAGTAGAAAGAAGGTACAAAATGGAATCTTTGTCAAACTAGACAGATTTTCTTCTTTTGAAAAACAGAATGACATTTGAAAAACTACCATAATAAAGTGGACAGACCAAATGAGCCATTAAAAAAATAATATGCTGCTTATTTCATTCTGATTGAAAAAAAAATGAAGAAAAAGAAAATCTATCAAAAGGTGTGTTGGCCTACCTGAGATGAGCCCCAGCTGTGCTAAAAATCTCTAAACATCCTTTGTTGGTCAGGTGAAGCTCTACAGGTCTTGGGGCCACATCGTGACCACGCCATTCAAGGGCATCATGAACTGTACATACAAACATTTAATAATGTTTAGGAATATTACTTAAATTTAGCAATGAATTTCTTAATTAACTTCTTAATTTTAACTTTTTTTAGTTTTTCCTTTTACAAATATAACCTTCTCAGCATTTTAAAAATGAAACGGATACAGCAATAATTTTTAACATATACATATATAACATAAACTTTAGATATGACCTACTCAGGATTAGATAAGGACGTACCAGAAACACTGCAGGAGATAGTTCTCCTTAAGATTCGTCTCTTCTCCTTCTCTACTTTAAGTGAGTTCAGCAATCTTTGATGTCGCCATTTCTTGCATTTGGCAAGTAGGTAAGCAACAAAAATACACACTGTAATGGAATGCAGATATAATGGATGTAAAATGTGTTGTTTTTTTCACAATTCATAAGGGTAATTAGAATTTATCATTTAATCTTGATGTGTTTATGTGTCAATATTATTTAAGGAAAACTTTTGGACTCTAATGTTTTCTATAAGATGTTACATTGATAAATATATAAAAGATTGAAAATAAATTAGTGTCTTTAAATGGTCTATTCTAAAAATAAAAAAACTTTGGGGAGGAAATATTTTTTTTATTTTTTTGATCACTTACAACACTGATTGTGCAAATAAAGATGTGTGGGTTTAGGGGTGCCTGACTGTGAAGATACATTGTGGGTTTAGGGGTGCCTGACTGTACAATGTGTATTTAGGGGTGTTTGACTGTACAGATAGAGTGTATGTTTAGGGGTGTTTGACTGTACAGATAGAGTGTATGTTTAGGGGTGTTTGACTGTACAGACAGTGTATGTTTAGTGGTGTCTGAATGTGCAGATACAGTGTCATTTAGTGGTGTCTGAATGTGCAGATACAGTGTCATTTAGTGGTGTCTGAATGTGCAGATACAGTGTCATTTAGTGGTGTCTGAATGTGCAGATACAGTGTCATTTAGTGGTGTCTGAATGTGCAGGTACAGTGTCGTTTAGTGGTGTCTGAATGTGCAGATACAGTGTCGTTTAGTGGTGTCTGTTTAGGGGTGTGGTTGAGCAACTACCCTTTTAAAACCAAATGAAAAAAATGTGAAAAGTAAACATCCTCTTATAAAAATGAATGCTTATATTTTTACAACCAGAGTCTGTCTAATTTTGCTTGAACATGTGACTACTTAGATTACTATTTTTATATCCAGGTTAGCATTTCTTTCAAAATCATTTTAAAAAATTTTTTTAAGTAGATATAATTATAATTTGTTTCATAAATCACAAGCAAACAATATTTTCAGTCTGTTCCTGGACTGTTACAAACAGAAACACAGAAGATAACAACCCAGTCACTTACCAAGGGGAAGAAGCCCAAGACATGTCCAGATAATAATGTAGGGGATTTCACTCCCTGCAAAAAAATCATGGCTTGTATTCATTGGACAGTCATCAAGTTCTTCTGTTTTGAAGAATCTTTGTGGACCACACTCTTTGTCAGTACCTGGAGGAAACAAAGAGGAGACTTTCAGATATTTAATATTTAAAATTGATTTCAGCTGCATCTGTTTCAACATATTTTAGGTACTGGAACTTGTCACACAATTGTCCATACATTTTTTAAGTTGTAAAATGTAGTCAATTTAACCTTTAAGAAGTATACAGCATCTCGATGTAATAACTTTAAAGAAAATAATAAATAATAAAAAAGATCATGAGTTTTGCAGATAGCCAACACTATTATTAAAATTATTTTTTTATTTATTTTTTATTGCATAACAGCCAACAGCAATGAACACTATCGGCCAGTGGAGTAAAGATATTTTAATTAAACTGTAATGAGTCTGAGTTAGTCAATAATAATTCATGAGACCATGCTTAACCGTTAACACTTAATTTCATTTCTGTTACCATAATTGACGAAAACGTCTTTGAGCCTCTTTTTGGGTATGTCCGTTGCCTTGTTCAGTATATCAGCCAGTGTCGTGTTTCTTATGGCTTTGATTTGATCGTCAGTAAATAACCTGATCAAAGATTAGAATCCAATTATTATAGTTTCATGCTTAATTTTAGTGAGCCTAATGATAATTATACTTTTTAATTGGTTGGGATCAGTCTTGAGCAGTGAAGAGGGGTTCAGAAAGCATTTACATCTGAGGTGATAGAACTTTAAAAAAACTTTTTGAAAAAATAGTTCCAAGGGGGTGTTGATGGTGGATAAGTAAAAATACTAATGTGTAGCCCTACATGTTGCATATTTCAATAGAAACAAAACTGTTGTAAACTACGTACATAGACATGACAAAAATGTGTGTCTATGTCATCAGAAAAGACTAAACCCCCAAAAATATGAGGGAATGCCATAAATAAGGTATTTAAAGCAAATGTTACCCGCTGCCAATTCTTAAATGAAAAAAAATAAATATTTATAACTTATTTAAATTTTAAGAAAAATTGATAATTATTGGCAATGCAAAGTTTTTAAAGTTATCCCAACTGAGGTAAATAACATTTGATCGAAGATGATGCAGTTCAACTCATTTAAGGGAGATTAAGCACCAGCACTTACTTGTTTTCTTTGTTTTCAAACCAGAACCTGTCCCCATCTCTCAGCCTTATGAACTGGTCATACAGGATGTGTCTAAACAGCTCTCCCGGTCCATCTGGTGTTGTCTCCATCATGCCCCCAACAAACATATCCACTGTGGATAAGTCATTCTTGTGCATCCTCTTGAAGGCTTCCATAAGCTGTGGATATGACATTTTTTTTTAAAATAATTTTTGGTGCGTCTTTTCATGTGTAAGTAAAGAGCATCTTAAATAATCAGATCTTGAAAACACAGATCCAAAAAAAAAAAAACAGATCTTTATATCACCATGCAATAACTATGATACAGGAATAATTATTTTCATCAAGCTGATTTTTTTCTGTACAATTTTGTTATTACATATGTGTATTTTATTTATCATAAGATTTGTTTGAATGAACTTAAATAGTTGAATGCACTTTTTCAAAAGCATACACAATATAGAAAATGAAGCAATCATTACATGCTTACTTTTTGTAATCTCAGTTCATTTTTATAACAGTTCCTTGTAATCTCAGTCTTAAGTGTGTATCTCATCTCTTATTACACCACATAAACCACTTTGTGAGCTTTGTGAAAGGAATAAAAAAAAAATTACCTCTGGATTGGTTCTATTTAGTTCGATATTCACATCTTCAAAACTTTTCTTTGGCTCAAGCCCCATTGTTCTCCTGACAGTGTTATAATCAGGCAGGCCGTAGTCACGTCCTTTCATTATGGTTAAAAGTACAGCATCATGGTTGGTGTGATACGCTGGGCCATAGAACTTGTCTGTAGAAAAAAAAGGAGGAATAAACATTTAAACTGGAATTAAAATCTTAGTTTTTATTTGATGGAGTCAAAACTATTATTGAATATTTTCTAGTTTTAAGTGTCTAGATTTTGCTTCATTTATTTAATTATAAAAAACCACATTTCTTATCTCAGTGTAGACTAAACTTCTTATGTAGGGTACTTAATGTCTTTTGTTTTGTTTCGAAACAGTGAACATCTCATATTTATTTATTTATATTTAAATCGAGCTATTATACAGCTTGTTTAGCCATGACTATTTTGTGTCTCCAAAAAAAGAGGGAGAGGGGTCTACACACCATAAACACGATTATGACTCCAATCTTAAACTTTAAAAAAGCTATTGGCCGGTAGAAGAAATATCCTTACTTCTGTAATCCTCTACAACATAAGTATCATCATTTTCTGCCATCTGATGGGCAAGGCCTAAAATAATTTCTGCTGTACTGTCTTCATGTTCATAAACTGTTTCCTGTGAAGGCATACAAAAGAGGAAACAAAAATCAATAATCTCTGGATTTGTGGGTGATGGCAAAAGTGACAATTCGACTTACCAATATTGTTATCCTCTGTACTGACTGAACTTAAGAGTCCCAATGTGACCTGCTTGTTCTGCATTGTTGTCATGTTTACTCACTGGACTCGGTGATTGTTTTCATGAATATCTAAACTTAAATGTGTGTATATTGGTTAGATAACTGGAGTGAGTGGTCATTTACTGTGGTGTATGAAAAGAATGTAGGCCGGAGAAGACAGATAGTTGTTACAGAGACCACAGCCTAGAGTATTCATATATTATTATACTATTAAAATGGGCACATGAACTAAACCAGCAGTTCTAAACAACATTTTTCAACGAGACTTATTCCTAGAAATTGAGAAAGGCTTGTGGAGTGTATTAACTGCTGACATCTAATGAATACATTTTTTTTTAATAATGTAGCTGTATTGTAATGACAATGTGGTGAAAATAAGAAACCAGCCCAATCCACGTAAATAGTATTTCAATATTAAAATGAAAGGTGAAACTAATAAGTTCAAAATGCAACATTTAAAAGAGCCTAAGAAAACAATGTTAAGAGTGTACTAGGTTTTTGATACAAGGTAACTTTTGCTTTGAGATTATCAAGTAAGAATTAGGAGCAGCATTACGTGAAAGGAATAAAAAAAGAATGAAAAAAAGTAATAAAATCAAACCAGCTCTAAATGGAGTATTTATTCACCCACCATGGCATTCCAGTAAGTCTTGCACAAACGTTTTGCTGGGAAGTGTCCATCATTACGAACCAAGCAATTGGTTTTTTCCCTAAATTTTGTAATTAAATTTTTTTTAAGCACAAAATTTAAATTTTTTTTAAATGACTCTTAAACTGAGCTAATTTTTACATCTCAATACAAATTTGAATGTGTACATTTATGTTTGATTTAAGTTCAATTTGATAGATATATGTAATGAGCAACTTATAGATTTGATCAAACAGGGAATTTTATATTTGATTTGTAAAATAAAAAGACGATAAGCTCAAATTTAAATACTTGAAGTAAATTTCAGTAAAGAAACAATTAATAATTTATAAACACCCACCACATTACGGAAAAACATTAAATTTACAATAAAAGGTGACATTTTTTTTCCAAATTTGTATCAATTGCACCCTTAGATCTGTTGAACTGATAACATAAAATACATTTAGGCTATGGAATATATACTGTGTATTCACATTCACTCCTCAACTTACAATTGGCTGATGCCACTTGGTATGAGTGTCATGATGTAATTAATTGCACCTGCATCAAAGATATCAGTGACATCACTCTTCACCCAGGACTTGTAACCTGTAAAATCAAAGCGGCAAAGAAACCAATTACACAATTTTTTTTTAAAATGAAAAAAAACTTGTAAATATTAGTCTATATTACTTTCAAATAAACCCATGCAATAAAAAAATGAATTTAAAAAAAAAAAATTGATATCCTTTTCTGTAAAAATAAGATCTTATGGTTTTACTTATCAGTTTGTGGTTTACTCTACAATAATTCTAGCACATGTGGCTGATTGTGGACAGGACATGGGCATTGAAACCAAATATTTCTATCATTAAGAAGTTCACATTTTAAAATAATGTAATTATATTCCAATGCTTTATGAGAAAATCCTGAAGGATAAGAAATAAAGGTGAAGGAAACAAAATCTAAATTTATTTCATTAAGGGGTTGTTGGAAAGGGATGGAGGGCACGGTTAAAGGCACATTTAACAGATTTTAATTTGATTATCATTTACCTATTTTGTGGGTTAGGGTTTTACTCAATGGATTATAATTGTTTTGTAAGTAAATAGTTTTGATAGAAATAGAACCTCCACAGCACTTACTTGTGTATGGCGGCAGCTCCATGCCAATTAACGTTGGGAGCCATTCATAGACCATGACATTCTGAGGATTTATAGAACATTTGTGTGAAAACATGGCTTTCTTAAAACAGTATTTTATATCTCAAAAGATCTTAGGCTGGCAATGAATAAGTTTCTTCCCTCATAACTTAGCTACAAACCAAAATATGTTTTAATACCTAGCTGTTGAGGGCAGCTCTGAATTTCTTTCTTAATATTTCTTTTTATGAGCATTTTTTTGGGGTCAAAGGTGACTACATCATCAACTCAATTATAGCCTTACCTGAATGTTTGCTATGACCTGTCTTCTAGCCAGGTCAAACAACTCGTCACTGTTTTTGTCACGATGGTCTCCACCAGCCAGGATGTCATCTACGACCTTGTTATGGTAGCGGTAGAATGCCAGGTTGAGTGCCAGAACAGCAGGATTCTCAAACACGTGTGTGTCACCCAGTCCTAACGCAGGTAAAAAATGAATAAGATAGATAAGATTCTTTATGGAACAAAATAAATGGAAATATTTTTTATCACATTGTACATATTCCTTTTCAGCACATAAATAAATACATATTTTAACCAAGACAACATTTTTAAATTAGAACAATTTAAACACATGACTAATACATCTAATGGCTGACGAAAGATGAATTAACATTTACTATGTACCTGGGAGGTGGTGGATGTGGGAAGTGGTCAGTTTGGGAAGTGGTCAGTTTGGGAAGTGGTCAGTCTGTAAAGTGGTCCATCTGGAAAGTGGTCAGTCTGGGAAGTGGTCAGTCTGTAAAGTGGTCAGTCTGGGAAGTGGTCCGTCTGTAAAGTGGTCAGTCTGTGAAGTGGTCCATCTGGAAAGTGGTCAGTCTGGGAAGTGGTCAGTCTGTGAAGTGGTCAGTCTGTAAAGTGGTCAGTCTGGGAAGTGGTCAGTCTGTGAAGTGGTCAGTCTGGGAAGTGGTCAGTCTGAGGAGTGGTCAGTCTGTGGAGTGGTCAGTCTGGGAAGTGGTTAGTTTGGAATGTGGTGCTTTACGGTCTGCCAAGCACCTTATTGCATTTACTTTACTATATCTGACCTCTTTCGTCTATTTTTTAATCAAGTTGTCATTAACTAATGGTGCCACATGCACTCTCTTTAGATCTTAACTACTCCTCCCCTGCCCCAAACTTTAACATCCATTAAATAAGAATCGTAAGGGTGTACATTACTGTTTTTCATATTGTAGAAGAAATAAAAAGACACATGACAAAATAACCTGGCCAAAAAATGACTTAATTTGTGAGTAGCCAAGCTATTTAAATTTTGTATCCTACATGTTTGTTTTAAAGCTGAAAACTTATGAGCCTGTAAATTTTTCATTCATCCAAATATAAGAATGCAACATTAACTTTTTTTCTCCAAATAATTCATAAATTTCATACATGTTCGAGAAATAGTATTGTCAGTCATGGAGCAGGGTTTTGTGTATGTGTATATATTTCATAATGTCTCACCATTGTTGCAAAAGTAACGGTTTCAAATTACACCAACTTACTCCAGAGCTGCTCCGATCTTGTGAACTTGAAGCTGAAGGCATGGTAGGGCAGGTTGACATTGTTCCTCATAGGGAACTTGCCCCATTTGTCCTCGCACGCCAGTTTGCCGCTGTTCGGCTGGCGGAGGAATTCAGTACGGACCAAACTGTTCCCGTAGAGAAAACTTCCATCAATGTAGCTAGAGGCCCTGTTGAGCTGTTGATAGAAGGGATGCAGAAGAAAAAAATATAGCAATTCGCAGACCTAGCTTAGACATTCAAGTGTTCATGATAAGGAATCTGAGGGCAATTGATTGGTGGCATACTTTGAATCAGATTGATTATGATTTAGTAATAAACCCTTTTGGGGAGTCACTCCATATTGCGAGTCTCCTACTTATTTAAACACTTCTTAAACATGAATTGAATTTTTTAAGCAAGAGAAATCTTCCATCAATGTAGCTATAGGCCCTGTTGAGCTGTTGATAGAAGAGATGCAGAAGAAAAAATATAGCAATTTGCAGACCTAGCTTAGAAATTCAAGTGTTCATGATAAGGAATCTGAGGGCAATTGACTGGTGGCATACTTTGAATCAGATTGATTATGATTTAGTAATAAACCCTTTTGGGGAGTCACTCCATATTGTGAGTCTTCTACTTATTTAAACACTTCTTAAACATGAATTGAATTTGTTAAGCAAGAGAAATCTTCCATCAATGTAGCTAGAGGCCCTGTTGAGCTGTTGATAGAAGAGAATCAGAAGAAAAAAATATAGCAATATAGAATTTGTTAAGCAAGAGAAATCTTCCAATTTTACTAATGGTGCCATCCTATTCTGGATTCACCCCTTCAAACATTGATTTAAAAAATTATTCAATAATCCCAGGATAAACATTCAAGACAACCATTAACAGTGATGTTACCTGTGTCTGCATCCAAAACATGACACCTTGATCCCACATTTACCCACCTTTCATCCTACATCCACTAGTAAATCTGTACCCACCTGTTACTCTATGAACACCTTTCACTATTTCTGTCCTTTCAAATTACTCTCATCAGTCACTTGCCACTTTAGCCCTCGCTGTTCCCCTCGACCAGCCAAACTGCAATTATGCAGATACTCACAGAGAAGCCTCACAGTCCCTCTAGACCATCCTGTCTAAAAAAGACCCATTTGTTCCCCAATCTGCCTCCAATGACCCACCTATCACCTTTAAAACTATACCTGTCTCCTTGGATTGTTAGGCGACTGTCCCGTGTTTTGGTCATAGGAGGTCCGCTCGTATGGTAGGTGTTTATTCCCCTCTGCCTCAGGATCGAACTCGGGGTCCCCCCGGGGGACTGGTGTCTCCAAGATTTCAATGGGACACGTGACGTCATCAGTGTCAATCAGCTCATGCTGAACAATTTGCCCTTGAGAAAAAAATGACATGATTATTTAGAGGATAAATCGCAATTCACACAGTCACAGTAATGAGTAATAAGTAATGTGAGTTTGGTATAATGTTGACACATTTGCCTTTGGATACCATCATCTTGTAAATCACATGATACACTGGATTTTAAATTAATAAATTGTATAATAAAAACGCATAAAATAAAATGCGACCACCCGTACCTTCAAAAACGAGATCCAATTTTTTTTTAAGTTTCTACATTCGTAGATCTGCATTTTACTGACTGATCGGACTGCCAGTACTACACTACTTTACCATCTACTCTGCTGGTAGTCTGGTAGTCTAGTTACTATTTTGTTTATAAGCTCCATTGCCAGACCATTGCAGATTGCTCCATCTGTATGATTATGATAACTTCCTGATACGAAATTGAGTCCTATGATACAAAACATAGTTACGATCTATAATAAAAGATGCTACCGAAGAAATAATGGATTGTTAGAGCGCCGCAGGTTAAACACCCAGGCGAATTTTCCCACTTTTGAAAAGCAATCAGAATTGAGCAGTTATACTTATGGAGACGAAAATCGAAATGACTTCCCGCCGTAACGACTTCCGTTACTGCAGACACCGGATGTACTTCATTTATTGTAATTTGTAAGAGATCGTATTTTTACTTTCAATGGCTGGGTTTCCCAATTGAAGGGTGATTTAAAGATTTCGTGGGACCTCTAGACTATTTATCACTTTTTATTTGTTGTATTCTAAAACACAGATTCTTAAGGACAAATTAAACTGTCCTGACGGCAGCATGAAAAACTAATCTTTGCTTTTAATTAGGTCTCCCCCCCCCCTTCCACCCCACCCCCCACCCCCCCCCCAAAAAAAAAAGAGAGGCGGGGATCGTTAAACCTTATTAACTGACTCAAGGGGGAACATGTTGGATGTTTGTGGAAATCCTAGTCAGAGTCATATCTTTGGTCCGAATTAGGGTCCCTAAAAATGAAGTCAAACATATTAAAAACCTTTTAATGACATCCCCCAAGTTTGGAAACAATTTATCGAGGAAATTTTTCAGTGCATTCCGCCTCAGAGTTGGTGGTAGTGAATTTAGTGATACGCTTGGGGTTCTTTGGTTACGTAGATAAGGACACAATTCATAACTGTAATGAATATGTGGAATTCCGAGCCACAAATTTGAGCGAACACAACAGCTTGCGATAATTGTAGTTTTTTTTAAATTTTTTTAAAAAGTTTTTTTAAAAATATATTTATATTAAATGTAAGAATTTAACCTTTTAAGTTGAAGTATTTATTTTTTAAATATATCTGCAGTTTCGATCAGTTTAGAAAAAAAAAAATTCAATATAGATCAGTGTTTTCTAAGCTTGGCTGACCGATGGATACGTTTTGAAATTGCAACAGGAAATGTTGCCAGGTGTATTCATTACATTTTTCTATGTACTCGACCATAACATATTCATGCTGTGCGGACCGGCAACGTAAGGCTCGTGGGCCACCGTTTGAGAAACGCTGATATAGATGAGATTGTATGCGTTTACTTTTTCCTATATTATAACATAAGAACTAGGCTAAATTTTGCAGACACCAACATACAGGAAGTTGACGAATAGCCACACGATGATCCCGTGTTTAACAACCAGTAAATCGGTGGGGTTTTTTTAATCTTTTTAAAAAAAAAAAAAAAACAATCTTACCGAAAAATGCAAACAGTGCCGTAAGATTTCTTCCGTTGGCCACTTGACCTCTCGGCAGATGGTCTGCCCCGAACAGCTCGTTGCTGATCCACCGAGGATTCGGCCTGTCCCATCCAGAGGGGCGGTAGGTGTCATCGGCATAAGCCGGTGTGATATTTCTCTCCAAGGCGCGTCCTGCAAAGTTTCATGGAAGGCAGAATTCAATTTCTTTACTTTAAACCAATGTCGTGGGAGTTGAGGGGGAGGGGGCACTATGTATTCCGTTACGGGGAGGGGGCACTATGTATTCCGTTACTAAGCAGGGCGGTGTTCTGGGCCAATTGAAGAGTTGTTTTTTGGTTTTTTCCCGTGGAAGGAGTTCGGCAAATTTCATGGCCCAGTCCCGGGCGCCACTAACCCCAAGGTACTTATTGCGTTGCACAAATTGTTCCTTGAAATAGTTGAATTTAAAAGTCTAAATGTTGATTCGAAATTCAGAGGGCAATGGTATCACGACAATGTGGCATCATTCGAAGACACGTTGATATTAAACATATCAAGATTAAAAATTAAAATTATAAGCTCAAAAAGTCATTTTTTTTTTAAATAATATAATCCCAGAATTTTATAATTTGATCTGCTGAGAAATGTGAAGAGTTATTGAGCCATTAGCGATAATCGTGTGTTATCGATATCGTTATTAATTAAGAGTCAACACTGTTCTGAAAATGATGTTACTTTTTTTTTTGCACATGTTATTGTACATTTTTGTGTATTATTTATAAGACAACGAACTCCCTCCCGAATTAAAACCCAATATAATATGACCTACACCCAGAATTGAACAGGGACAACGTCTAGGGGGTGGGGGTGGGGGTATAGCTTTCACCACTCAGCAGTCCCTTGACTTTTGGGCCCCCACTCCCCTAATTTTAAATACTTTCTTTCAATTGTGTCCTCCATATCTTAACGCTTGGCCCCTATAGAGATAACACGGGGACCTCTGCATCTCAACGCTTGGCCCCTATATAGATAATACGGGGACCTCTGCAACCGCAAGGGAGTCAGGGCCTTCGCGATGGCTCTGACGATCAGGGGTGGGTGGGGGTAAACAGCTGCGGGCACCATTACTTACCTACGCCGCCCCATGATGGGTTGAGTGGATTGTTGTACCAGCCGTCAAACCGTTGTACCGGTACCTCTTCAAACGACACACCTGAATAAATGAATAATCTAAAATAAAATGCAAATCGAAAAGGAGGCCGTTTGGGGCGAGGGGGGGGGGAGTTTCTGGATATAACCATAATATATTGATACAGTTATGGGGCTTTGGGATGTTAACTATATAATATCTGTGAGTATGATTGAACTACAGAATATTCCGATGACACTATGGAAACTATTCTGTACATATTGGAGCTTGCGATATCAGTATATGTCACTATGTTGTGATTAAATGGGGGGGTGGGGGTATGTTGTAACAAAAATGGTTTAGAAAAGCTCTACAGTGTATTAGGATAAAAACATGGCGTACAACCATGTAGGGAAAAAAATAGGGGTGGGGATGAGACATTATCGAGTAAATTGGTTCTGCTCACATAGCATTGGTCAGTGGCATGGTTCAATTAAGTAAAGATGGATTGGATGACGATACCGTCAATTGAAAGGAAACAAATGATTACGATTAAAACAGGTTTTAATTTATTTTTTTTTCTTCACAAAATTGTATTATTTGGTCTTTTATAATTAGACCCACTCATCTTACTGGAATCAAGTTTAGAAACCAACACAAAAAGGGGCATGATTTTGGAACCAAACATTTGGTTGTCTCCCATAATTACAGTGTTGTTGTTTTTTTTAAACAATGGGTGAATTGAGTTATTCAAAATACAATGGTGTTTAGTGGTGCATTCCTATATTTTAGTTTGACATAACTTTGTTTGATCGGTAACAACAGAGTAAAGTATGATCACGTGACTTACCTCCGCTCAAAGCTATAATAAACCCGGCTAGCACGACCCCGCGGAGACTCAGCTCCATTCCTGGCAGGCTCGTGTTCGTATCTCAGTACACAGGTTTGTACACACCGATCTCACAAGTGTACACTGTCAAACCTTCCCAAGCTCTAAAACAATAGGAAATTAAAAAGATTTTACAGTTATTTGTATATAGTGACAATTTGTGTCAGTCTGTGTATGGCTTAAGGGAAAAAATATTTTACAGTTATTTGTATATAGTGACAATTTGTGTCAGTCTGTGTATGGCTTAAGGGAAAAAAAGATATTGCAGTTATTTGTAGATAGTGACAATTTGTGGCAGTCTGTGTATGGCTTAAGGGAAAAAATATTTTACAGTTATTTGTACACAACAAAGCCCCCCCCCCCCCGCCCCCCCCTTTCCCCGACCTCGACAGAACTAACATATTTCTGTTTCTGTCATCGTCTTGATTGATGATGTCCGCTTTTTAATTTATGAAATGTGCACGTCCTACAGAAAAATCCCATGGCCTTGTGATTTCGTCCTGCGACGTCTACGCCATCGTCAGACTGTGCCAGATAAATATTTTTTTTTTAAATGTTCCATATGTTACGAGATGTTTTACGACTCAACACGTGACCCAACTCTCGAACCCAAATAAAACCTCACCCAAGATTTCACCCGTAATCTGACAAATTAATTCACTTCAATTCAGTTGAATATGTCCGAATATTTATGAGGCGACTTCTGTGCTTCTATATTTAGCTTCCACACAACAGCCGTGGATTAAAATTCTTATGTTAAACTAGATCTCTTGTGTGACATAACCAGGTACAAGAAAGCATTGTTAAGAGAATCTCTAACCCAAGATGGCCACGATTACTTTTCTCCTTCATAGATAAATGATAAAAAATACTGATTTAATTTGTATTGTTTCGAAGAGTTGTGGGGGGGGGGGGATAAA